AAATTTACATGAGGAATTAGACGGCACAAGAAGCACGAACTGCGAAGGAGACGAGAAGCGAAGATCGAAATTCAAAGTATGAGACTCCTAAACTTTGCGTTATCCCGTTGGTATTTAGTAATCATTAAAGGAAATTTATTCCCGTGAAAGTATTTTGAAATCGAGAGGGATTTTTGGCGGTTGCTTTTGAGTGGGAAAAGGCAATTTCGATGGGTTGCGGAAAGTTTTTGGCCCTCACTGTTATGCCCTTGATTTTTTTTTTTTTGGGAGAAAGATATAAATATGACTGTAGCATTGTAGACGGATATCATATTGAGGCCCGATATGAATAACGCAGCCTGTAAAGCATATGAGAAATGGGTTGGGCCTACATATATGAACAGATTCAATAATTTATCCTGACTAAAAGACATCACTATACTACTTTAAAAAATCTTTATTTCTAAAACAATTCCATTTCGATACATAAATATATTTTCTATTTTAAATTTATCATTTTTTTTCTTCTATATACTTTTTAGTGTATTTATAGTTTATCTTTAAATTTATTACATTATTTTTATAATTTATTAAAAACTAATTATAAACTGTTACTTATTCTTATATTTATTGTTTATATTTTTAACTAAATCACGAAAAACTATTTAACAAAAAAGAAGCATATGAAAGATAAAACTAAATATAATGTTTTATTTGAGTTTATTATCTATTTTTTTACTAAATCACGAAAAACAAATTGGCCAAAAATAAAATAAAATAAAACTAAATATAAACTATAAATAAACAAAACAAAACAAAAAAAATAATTAATAATCATAGTCTAACTATTAGTAAACATCAATCTAACTCTCAAATGTTCAAAACACAAATATAGTACGTACCAATAGACAAACCCCATATAAACTCCTACATCGTTCCACTGCCTCAAGCATAGTTGGCCCATTGCAAACTGAAACTCGAACAAGTTCCTCCTTACCCAAAATCCCTACCCAAGCAATCCAACTCAAATGCGACTTCCTTCAAAGAAGTTGAGAGCATCTTTAATGGTATATTGTCCACTTGGAGATATAACATGGAGAAAGAAAATAATAAAATTTTGTCTCAAATGGTTACTATCAACTCTAGTGACATGTGTAAGACTATAAATAATTGGACATGAGAGATTTATTTTATAAATAATACGATATATAATAGAAGATGTCTAGAAGTACTTCTATGTCTAGAAATACTTCTAGATATTTTCAACGGCACATAGGATTTATTAGGGAACATGGCAATAAAAAGAACAATTTTCACACACCATTGGAGATGCTCTTATAACTTTTGTGGTGTTGATTTGGAATGGAGCACCTTTCTTTTTTTGTACAAAGAAAGAGGCCCAAGCCTAAAGGTTTAAGTTACAAACGTTCCGCGAATAGGAAACGCCAATAACATCATGTTGCAGCCACCGTCAAACACCATATGGCGGAGCATTAAAGAAATGATACCCCAACGATCCTTTCGCAGCGAAATAAGCCAAATGATCGGCTGCAAAGTTCGCTTCACGGAATACATGTTCACTTTGACCTTCCAAGGACGACCTAAGAGTTATTTGATACCCAAAACGAGGCCTGTATGCACCTCCGGTACATCATCAAGAGAATTAGAAAACCCCACAACACTCTCATTATTCACTTTGGCCTGTATGCACGATATTGACAAGTACATTGCACAATATTGTGTCGATCTCCACACTAAGAATACCATCATATTTATTAGAATTATTAAGAATTTGATAAATATATGCACAACATTGATAAATAAATTGCATAATATTGTGTGTAAATATACACATTAAAAATACCGTCATAGTTATACGTAGTTTTAGAATTTTCATCGTTTAAACAGTTAAAAGTTTATAAATTTACCAAATAAGTTCACAAATTTACTAAATAGTCAACACGCTACAAAAATGCACATTAGTGATAGAAGAATTGCACATTAGACGATGTATGTGAAAAATGTACTAAGCCTAATAGCATATTATGGAAAAATAACAAAAATGCCACTGTGCGAAAATCAGAAGTACACATAATTACAACAATGCCACCACATCCTTGACCAATGCTGGAGCCTTTGCCCATTTATGGAGCGTTGATATATCACATCCAGCCGTTATGATTCATTCTTATTTCTCGTGGGAAGAGTCATTCTCATTTGATCACACTCTCTCTCTCTCTCTCTCCACATATATATATATATATATACTGGTTAAAAAAAACAAGTTCTGGTGTGAGAACAATATTTGATATTATTTTTAACTTTACATGGTATTATCATTTTCACAAATGCTAACATAAATTTTGTTTACATTTTTTATAATATACATCTTGGTTAAAAATAGAACCAAAACACGATCAACCATAGCATACATATAACTAATAATAGTGGCATTACGTTCAATTAAAAATATCGGTTCTCATGGTTCTCATCCTAAGAGTTTGTTCTAATTTGAACTAGATCTTATATATATATAGAGACTGATTCAAATATAAAATAGTATTGGTGTGAGAACTGTGAGAATCGTATTTGATACTATTTTTAATTGTGTATGATGCTATTTTTAATATCATATGATTCTATCATTTTCACAAATGCTAATATAAATCATATTGCTATTTTTAATAAAACACATCTTGATTAAAAATAGTAGTAAAAACACAATCAATCATAAGATGATGTACAATTAAAAATAATGATGCTTACGCTAGGATTCCGTTCTCATTTAAACTCCATCTCTCTCTCTCTCTCATTTATTCTATTTATTTTTTTATACTTATGGTGAATTGGATTTGATTACCTTTGAATAAACTTCTAACAATATTTAATGTTCCTATAACATATTAATTAATTAAAATGTTTTATTAACTACTTCAAAATAATTAATTAAAATTTAAAATTTAGACATGTTATGGTAATAATTGTTTTCACATATTATTTTTGCACAACTATTAAATTGAGTTAATATTGGTTGGCTTCTACTTTATGTTCCTAGTTTAGCATTTAGCATAGATGATAACTAATTTGTTTTAATATATAATTGATCAGTTGATTATTTATTTGATTCGTTTGTCTAACTAATGCATTAGCAGTTTATATTGTGTTACAAGATTGTAATTGGAAATACAAGTAGACAGAAAAATATATCACATTCTTACTCATTTTTGTTTTCTCTTACCCGCTTGAGGACATCATTGAAAAAAATGGGTTTATTATAATTAAGATACCCATTAATTTAGTTTTTGACTTAAACAAGGAATTTGGAGACCTTAATTGATATACTATTTAATAAACGATTTTGTGGATATGACCCGCAACCATAAATTATGACAAAGCTAAAGTCCTATCAGTGTATTAATGCTTTAAAAATTATGGATGTTATCTTTTTATTATTATTATATTATTATTAATAATAGATGGTCACACCCAAAGTCCATTTTAGTAATTATAAAGAAAAAGTCCATTTTAGTAAATACGTAAAAAATGTGGGAGAAAAATAAATAAATATATAACTTTGGGGCATTTGATTTGCGGGGCCGTTCGGTAAATTCGGCTTCGCAGATAAAGCCGCGCGTCGGGACGCGTGAGACGGTTCCAGAACTACTGCGTGGCACCACGTAATTCATGGGACTCCTGAGGGCTATTTTCGGAAATCTGCTCAAAACGCGTCGACCGCAGATACACGTGTCTGGGCATGGATGCGATCGATACCCAACCTCGCTAATCTCCCGACACGTACCCCATCAAACCCTTCGTCCTCACACCGCCACGTAATCCACCAGCGTGGCGTTATCCATCCACCTCAGCAAACCAAAAATCCCATTTTTAAAATGCACAAACTCCTCTTTGATACTCCTGAGAGCCTTCACAGTGTTCACACACTCTTCACGCACAAGCGTTCTCACAGACCTTCACGCCAAACAAACCTCCCTATTTTTACCCTTTCTCTCACACACAGTAAGCGTGTAAATTCATCTTCAGGCCATCCGATTCGTGTTCAGACTGGGAGATTCGTTTATAGCTTTGATCGGCGCTTGATCGTCGGTTCGGAGGTCGCCGGGTAGCTTACGTGACGCTGATGGAGCCTCTTCGTGGTCGGATTTGGTGGTAATTGAAAACCCTAAGCAAACCAAAGCTTTTTGTTAAAGTAATTTTTGTGTGTCGGTGTTTAGAAGTTATTCCATGCTTTGAGTCGACAATTGGATCAGTTGATGAATTATTAGAGGTCGATTGCGATGATTTTCGAGATGAAGGTGTCTGATTGTTGAGATTTTCGATTTTTTAGTTTCTGCAGATCGATCAGCGTGAAATTTGGGTTTTTTTTATGTGTTTGATTGTTTAGGATATTCTAATTATGAGGATTTTTAGTTTTTTTAATTAATTTTATTGTTTCGTTTTTTGGTTCTATCAGTTTGTCCAAAACTGCGTATTTGCTTTAGAAATTGTTGAGGAGCTAATAGCGAATTTTGGTAGCCAAAGACCTTTTCTTGATCGGCTATCTTTCACTGTAGAATTTGAAGTCGTCCTCGTTGACTCGAATTCTCAAACTGAGCGTGCTGTGGAAAATTGGAGCCGGAAAATAATTAAAAAATCCAGAAAATATCAGCGGCCTTCGAATTTCTTCTCCTCGCACATAAAAAATCCATGCCTTATCCCATGAAGATCCAGCCGATTGATTTCAATGCACCGCTGGAGCCGCAGCCCAAACCCGAGGCAGTGGCGAAACCAATACTGAAGTTGAAATTCCGGCGGCTTTTCGAGAAACCCTTTTCCGGCGTGCTGAGAACATCGGCGCCGGAAAAGCTTCCCGGAGCAGCTGAGCTGCCGCCGCCGCCGCTGAACGGCGGCAAGGATGGCATGGAGGAGTTTGAGCCGAGCTCCGTTTGCCTAGCGAAAATGGTTCAGAATTTTATGGAGGACACTAACGAAAAGCAGAAATGTGGAAGGAAAAAATGCAATTGCTTCAATGGGAGTGGCACAGATAGCTCCGATGAGGATTCCGAATCATACAATGCATCTGGTCACGCATGCGATGTTCTCAAGGTAGTTAGTTTATCGTTTATCTTGATTTTGTGGTCCATAATCTGACAAGAATCTCAGTATTTTTGTTTTATTATCTGTTATCTGATTACAGCAACAACATACCCAGTATATTCCCAACAGGTTGGGGTCTGGGGGTCAGTTGTACGTAGACCTTACCCTCCGTAGCGACCCAATGCATTTTATAACAGATAAAATTATCTGTTATCTGTTATCTGATTCATTTATTTATTTATTTTTCCTAATGGATTATATGCAGAGTCTAGTCCCCTGCTCGAGCATCGCGGAGAGAAATCTGCTGGCCGACACCGCGAAAATAGTCGATAAAAACAAAATCGGTAAGCGAAAAGACGAGTTCTGCAGAAAAATCGTGGCAGATGGCCTAATTGCTCTTGGGTACAAAGCTTCAATCTGCAGATCAAAATGGGAGAAAACCCCCTCTTTTCTGGCTGGTATAAAGTTGTCATCTTGCTGAGTTTCTATACAAATGAATTAGCAGTCAATCCTTAAATTACAAATTGTTGTTTATAGGGGAATACGAATACGTGGATGCAAAAGTTGAATGTGAGCGGCTAATAATCGACATAGATTTCAGATCGGAATTCGAAATCGCGAGGCCCACAAAGGCATACAGACAGGTGCTCCAAACTCTGCCCAACATATTCGTGGGGAAAGCCGAACGTCTCGAGAAAATCGTGAGTGTAGTATCCGAAGCTGCCAAACAGAGCCTAAAGAAACGAGGCATGCCCGTGCCTCCATGGCGTAAAGCCGGTTATGTGAAGGCTAAATGGCTCTCGCCCTTTACTCGGTCGAGCTCGAGCCATGATAACGAGAAAATCGATGATGATGGTGATTTTGTGTTTGTTTTTTCTAACAGTAACAGCCCTTGTGAAGGAGATGATGGGGTGAAGAAGCCATTGGTGACAAAATGGGAGCCATTGGAGATTAGGCCTATGAATGTGAACAGAGGAGTGAAGCTAGTTACTGGTCTAGCTTCTATAATTGAGGATAAACCATAAAATTTTTGGTCTTTTTGTGTGTGTGTGCGTTGTTAGTAACTTTTGATCAGTTAATCAGTAGAATGGATTTGGAGGCGATCTTTGATGGTATCGTGGTAATTCCCTTGGGTTTTTTTATGCAAGGGGTGTCGGAAAATTTAATATAGTGTACTAACATCATGAATAAATAAAAACAGAACTTTGTTGTGTGTGTAGTAATTCTTGTTTTCGTATTTTTGTATGGTTTGTTGGTTTTTGTTCATTGTGTGGGAGTCGAGATCAGCTTGTGCCACGGATAAATTGTTTCGGCCCGGCTTAAGACATTGACTTGGGTCTTGCAGCTGCCATCCCGTTTATGTTGAACGAAGATGAAAGATTAAAAGGATTTAAAATTTGAAATTATTTACAAGGATGAATGAACTATTCTAGAGATGTTTAAACATTAAAGGGATTTAAAATTCAAGATTTATAAGGATGAATGAACTATTCTAGAGATGTTAAACAAACCAATATCTCGTAGATTTTGTTTTTTTTTGTTAAGGTTCTATTATTTTTGAGGCTAGTAAGCTCGGGGTGTAAGAGTTATTATGTAATTTTATAGATTATTACTTTAGCTGGACTAGTTAATGTTCTTAACTCAATAAATTTTTATAAACAAGTTAGAATTCAAGTTCATTATTTGATAGAGACTTGAGGCTGTATTCGATCTTTCTCTTCGTTTCCAATGATTGAATACTTTCAATAACCCATTAGTGACATTAGTCTTATGTTAAATCGGTGCAACCATTAGGCCGTTATATTAATTTTATAAATATTCATAAAACATTATATTGTAAAAAACAACATACATTTATGTGAATTTAAGTATTGTTTTTATTCAAATAGTATAACTAATCAGACTCAACGTGAGTACAACCTGGAATGCTCGGAACAATTAAATAAATTGAACACATTTTATAATATGCTCTGCTAAGAATATGCATAATTTGTGCCGAAAGACTCCGGCGTTTGCTTTTGTTAGTTTGGTGGCAAAGTATATTTGGGAAATTGAAACCCTTTTTCCTTAATTCAATGTGCTTTGCTTTTCGCGTAGTTTTGTCGCATTATAATCATTCGTTTGCGTGTGATTTTGAGAAGACAACACTCAATTCAGATTGAATATTGCTTGGATCCATTGCACATTCTATTGAAAAATGCCATTTAAGTACATGTCACGTAAACATTGTGCACAACTTTGGTCACATTGCTAGAGATGGCCAGGGGCCGGCCCGGCTCGGCCCGCAACCGGCCCGTGGTTGCCGATTCCGAGGACCGTAACTGTGGCTTTACGAGTCGGAAACGGGTCTCGTGTTTTCATTTTGGTCCCGGACCGGGTCGGTTTAGGAATAAAAATAATTTTAGATAATTTTAGATAATAGAAAAAAAATAATTTTAGATAATAAAAATAAAAAAAATAATAGAAAAAAGATTTAGGAATAACCATAGAATATGCGCAACTCCATAGGCACCAATCTCCTACATACCTATCTCACCTGTTCACACTTTTGTTATTTTGTTTTTTGGTACACAAAAGTCGAACAAACGAGATCACTTTGGTTGATTTTAATGATGAAAGGAACATCTCGCGAGTTTTTCTTTTTTTTTTTTTTCGCATTTTTAGAAATATTTTTTTATTAGCCCATCCGTGTACTTTTTGGGAACAAAGCATAAAAAGTAAAATATCTCATCCAAACGTTTTGAAAAGCACGGTGAAACCGAAACCATAATTGATGTTGAAGCAAATTGATGGGTCTTCTACTTTTTGCGTGCTTTGATTTCAATTTAGGTAGGATTACTATTGTTATTTTCTTTGGAATTATTGTATAGTAATACTCATACACATATATTTAAATAAAATATTAGCAATTATATAAAGGGATGCTGCATTTAAAATTATAAATTATATAATAAGCATATCAAATTTTATATAATCATTAATTAAAATAAAAAATATAATTATAACCTAGTTTACTTATATATATGTGAATCAATATATAGATTGTCTAAAAATGTAATGAATTATACAGCTTTACAAATTTAAGGAATTATTAAAAAATAATTTGTCGAAAAAATATTATTTTATTATTATTACAATAGCAACTGTTTACGTACGTGAATTTGATATGTCATTAAAATCATTTAACTATTTAAGAGACTGCTAATTAATGAGATGAAGACAAATATATAATATTAATTTTTATACAAGTAGTTTGAAGAAAACATCTTTTTCTTATAGAATTTTAGGTGTGTACTTTTATAAACCTTGGATGTATAGTTAGTTATTTTTAGCAATAACTACTATATAATAGAATAAATAAAAAAATCATTATTACACTTACTACAAAATATAACGGTTAGTTTTCACAATTAAATGAAAAAATAAAAGGAAAAATAATATTAATTTAATAACCGACACTTATATTTATGTATGTATAAATTAAGAACCAAAAATAATTTATGTGTTATCAATCAAAAGTTGTCACATTGCTCATATAGGAGATCATTCAGTGGATAATGAATTGGTCTATCTCTAACATAATAGGCAGCGCGTTTGGAAAAAAATACATAAAGATCACAAAAAGAAAGTCAGAAAAAACGAGGTTAAAATCTACCAGGACTATAAAATAATACACAAAAATCATCTTTCGAGCATTACCGAGTCGAGCCGAGTTTACGAGTGACTCGTTTAATTAAACAGTTTTACATATTATATCATTGCGCGATTAATAATTAAGATTACCTAACTTTATCGTACGAGCTTTGAGCTAAAGTTTCGAAACCCTGATTTCAAGCATGAACAATACTTCATACGAGGGGAAAATGATTTCCTTTTGTATTTTTTTTTTGCTGAAGACAATATGTTGACAATTTGATGGTTAACATGAAGTTGAATTGTTTCTCTTAATTTATTTATTTATTTTTTAACGGAACGAAATTGTTTCTCTTAAATGGATTTAGGTGATATATCACATTTTTTAAAGTCAATGTCACAGAAGTGATAAAAGAATCAATGTATGGCTTTTCTAAAGTTATTTCTGATTTCAAGTAACTTCTACTTAGAGGTTATTGACATTACTGCCAATTTTTCATATAGTTTGTCAATTTATATTTTGTGTATCCACGTGAAAACCCAAATAAATGAACAAATAAAAGAATATATATATATAAGTTTGTTCCATCTATGTTCAATTAATATTGTTATTTGGTATAAAAAAATCGATGTACAACCTCATTTGTTTATTCCATTGTTACGTGCTTTCTACTATTCAATCTGAAACCCATGAATTGTGCGATAAGTGAAGATCTCGTGAGGTCAATTTTTGCTGCCATTTTATTGGATGTATAAAAGAGACCTATGAATAAAAACCGAGAAATAAAGGTAAAAAATGACAAAATAGGATAAGGGGAAAGCAACGTCGGGTTTACTTTGTCCGAAAAAGCAGACAATGGATTGACGCTCTATCACGCTTTATATATCATTACTGTAGTAGTTTTCTTATAAACAAGGAAAAAAGATAAACCAAGATAATTATTATTTTTTTAATGCTCAACTAATTTTTTCATTACCCTACTACCACTAAAGTTGATATTGGCCTCTTTTGAAACTACAAAATCTAAGTGGACTTTCCATTTAGAAAAGACTATTCATTTCGTTTTTTAGCTTGAAAATGTTGGCAACCCAAGAGTTTTTGAAAATGTAGCTTGAAAATAAGTGGAATTTAATATGTAATTTGAAGGTATTTTGTTTTATTCACTACGATATTAGATATGATTGAAAATAAATAACAAATGTAAGAAACTGGGAGAAAACGGGTGCGGTCCCACTAACATGAAGCGCACCAAAAGCGGAGAAAGCCCATAGGAAGCTCAAGTGGAGTTCCATCCCAAAATCAATTGGTGGAAGGAGGAGTAGTCCATTAGACTTATAAAGTGGGTCTATTTTTCATGTATGAACGATGTGGGACAACTCACGAGTGATATTCTAACAACAAAGATTTTCCATTTTCGCATGAAGTTAGTGCGTGTTTCTATATATTGAAATCTTAAAGATTTAAAGGAGGAAAAAAGTTGTTATAGAGGAATTGAAATATATTGTAGAATGTAAATTAATATAAGATACAGATCGGGGGACGGCCAATATGCCATCATGAGCTTCTCGTTGGTCTCCGTAATGAGTTCCCGGACCATTGGAGGTTGGGAATTTTAGCACATAATGAAAAATAAGAGACTGCTGCTTGGAGCTTGTAAAGTGTCTTCCTCTCGAGTATGGTACTCATTCTAGTGATCGACGATCTTGAACGTCTCCATAATAGTCATCTCATTCGAACCTTGTCCTCTACATCTGATTAGCAACATAATTTCCCCCACTGGGATGGTTGTTCGACCATCAAAACCTTGGATCCTATTTCAGCACGGCTTCACCTCTTTTGGATCGATCTCCATCTTCTAGAAGGTGTTGTATACAGAATGCTAGCATACGTCCCTGTGTCGACCAAACCAGAATTCGATGCACGTTATGTTGAAGATCGGCGCTGTGAGTGGGGTGATCGAATAAGAAGGTGACATTATCGATGGAGGAAATATGGTTTGAACTCGTTGAAGACGTTGGTCAGCAATTAGCATTCTACACTTGATACCTGGTATATTAGGCGCACCGAGCATAGGCCTTGGTCCGCCTCCTGGACTGGGTTGTTCCTTCTCAGCTCGTATTCACTAGTTGAGCTGGGGAGGAACTCCTGCGCTGAGGTCGAATCGAAAATTGACTTCGTTTTCAAGCTCGAGACGAACTGGCTTCTTCTTGATAGACGGGATAGAATGTAAGAATTGTCTTTTGTGGTGGGGGTCTTTGTCTCCTCGGGTGGACGTCTTCATCATCATTGTTGTCGGAGCCGCCCTCAGGTCGGCCCCTATTTCTTCCCTCTTGATTTTGGGTGAACTTTTTTCACCAAGGGATCTCTGATCAACTTTAGCAATTCCAAGATAAGGTTTCTGCATTGATCGGTGTTGTGCTCCTTGACTTGCCGAGCCTATTCTCGTCAGTTACCATCTATTTCGGGTCAAGCAAGATCCTCTTATTCTTTATCTCTTCATATACTGTTGCGACCTAAGCCGAGTATTTCCCGTAGTAGTTTTCTCTCTGATCCTCCTGTCGCTGCTTCCTGAGAGCTCGCATTTGCGCTTTCTGAGCTTCTTTCACTGGGTCTCGGGCTTGTTTGGCCTCTTTTTCCTTTGGCATCGCGCCTCCGAGCACCCTCGAAGGTTGACACGGACATGGATTCCTCAACCATAACATGTTGTTGAGCTCGATACAGACACAGTGACCACATGAACATCGAGTCGCCTTTAGACCGTGGTATGCCGAACCAACAACGTCTCTCAATATTAATCATTATATTTTAAATATTATTTAAATACAAACAAAATCCACTTTATCCTCCATTCAATCAACTTTATTACAAAATAACTCAATTTATCCAATAATAAATCAAAACCAAGATATTTTATTTCCAGTCACTCCCAAATTGATGGAGAGGGAAAAAAAACGAATATTTACACTAGAACAATATAAAATCAGAAAAATTTGTTCTAAAAAAAAAATCATTATTGATATATCATGAATACTTAGATTTTCATAGAATCTCCCTTATATATAATTTCTATATGTGCTAAACTTAAATGACAGACTCGCATACTTATGGATCCTATATGACAAATTTCATGATTCATTATTTGAGTCGGATGGATTTTAATTACTTTCAATCAAAAAATAATTATGCCCGGATCAATAAATATGTTGATTATTTATGATCATCTTATATATATATTAATTTTAATATCATTTCTTATTATTACCATTGAATTGTAAAAGTATTTGAAATGTTAATAATTTTTGTATTTTTTATCAGTCTTACATATATAATATATCAAATTAATCATTGATTTATTACCTTTAATTTGGTGTAGTGGACCCTTAGCTTAATTGATATGTATTTACTGTAATTTTGGATATAGTGAATTGGGGAAGGGCTTTGGTATCTCTCTTGTGTTGATCGTTCACTGCTGGCGGAGCTTGTTTTGGTTCACTAGGGAAGGGCTTCGTTGTATGTTATGTTTGGTTTTGTTATTCGTGTTTTGTTGTTTTGGTTGTTTGGTTTCTGTGTCTGTTCGAGTGTTTTAGGTTTGGGCCGTTGGCCCCGGTTTACCCGAGTGTAACTTTATTATCCTGTTGGGATCACACTCGGGTATTCTCCTGTTGGGAGTTGTATTTTTGTTGTGGTTAGTTGTTTGTTTTAGTGTCGTTGTGTGATTGTCTTTCTAGCGTTTGCTAGTTGTGTTTCGTCTAGGTTGCATTGGGTTTTGTAACCTCTCATTTTCCCGGGTTCCGGGCTTGCCATTGTATATTGCCTTTTGGCGTCTTAATAAAATCGTTTATGTCGTTGGAAAAAAAAAAAANGGAAGAAGAAAGAGCTTAGAGAGAGAAAATAGAGAGGGACAGAGAGAAATGTAGAGAGATAAAAGATAATTTCCTTCTTGCCTTTTTCATTCCTCACGCACATGCTTAAATACAGTGTAATATGGCCCACTATTAACCAACTATTCACCATACAATTTACCCTCTCACTAAAACATAAAACTAAAACATAAATAATTAAAAGATGTCAAATAGACGGTCATGATACTTGACTTCATATTTTTGATCCAATGTCTTCCATCTCGCCACGTGTCGCTTCTTGGTCAACACCATGTTGCCATCAAAACCCGCTTTCTCATCTTCATCTTCCCATTTTTCTTTTGCCTGAACCCTAATTTTCCCAAACTCCATAGGAACTGAACCAATTTCCTCCAAATCTCCCTGATTCACTACAATACCGCCCCCCTTTTGAGATCCTTGTCCCCAAGGATCAAACTTTGGGAACTTACGGCGTAAAAAGGTGTCGTCTTCCCAAGTGGCAAGAGGTGCATCGGCCGGCGACCATTGAACCAGAGTTTGGGAAATGGGTCGTCCTCGCCGTTGGATCTGGCGGTGGTCCAGAGCGTCCAGGGGAAGAGCAAGGAAACGACCCTCGCCGTCGACTGGTGGGAACTCAGTAGAAGCAGATTCCGGCGGATTAATACGGCGCTTGAGTAAAGAGACATGGAAGACGGGATGCACACGAGAACCCTCTGGGAGGTCCAAACGGTAAGCGACTTCACCAATCTTAGCTAGGATTTGATAGGGTCCAAAAAAACGGGCAGAAAGTTTAATGTTTTTGCGAAGGGCGACTGAGTTTTGCCGAAAAGGTTGCAACTTGAGGTAAACCCAGTCGCCAACTTCAAAGTGCCGATCACTCCTGCCTTTGTCCGCATATTGCTTCATTCTGTTTTGTGCGTGAAATAAATTTTCTCTGAGATCCTGCATAATATGCTTCCTTTGTTGAACAAGGTCTGAGGCCTCTGAGTCAGATGAGTGCATATAGGGGTCTAGTGAGAAATAAGGTGGGGGGTAACCATACAGGGCCTCAAAAGGAGTGCATTTTAGGCTAGTGTGGTAATTTGTGTTGTACCAGAATTCAGCCAAAGGTAGCCATTTAGCCCAGTTCTTAGGATTTTCAAAAACCATACCTCTGAGGTAATTCTCGAGGCACTGATTTACTCTTTCTGTTTGTCCATCTGATTGCGGATGATAGGCTGAGGTAAGTGCTAATTGAGTACCAAGGAGTTTGAATAACTCCTGCCAGAAAGTGCTGGTAAATATCTTGTCTCTGTCTGAAATAATGCATAGGGGATGACCATGGAGTTTGTAAATAGTGTCCAGAAAAATCTTAGCCACCGAAACAGCTGTGTAGGGATGTGATAAAGGAATAAAATGACCATACTTGGTCAGTCTGTCAACCACAACAAGAATGACATCCTTCCCCATAGACTTAGGCAACCCTTCTACAAAATCCATTGAGATGTGAGTCCAAGCTTGGGAAGGAATAGGAAGTGGTTGTAGCAGCCCCTTATACTTTCCACAATCAGTTTTGGTTTTAGCACACACATCACACATTTTCACCCCATCCAGAACCTCCTTTTTTAGGTTCGGCCAATAGAAGACCCTTTTAATCCTCATATAAGTAGCTTGGGATCCAGAATGTCCACCTAAGGCAGAACTGTGCATGTCCTTGAGAATGGTTTGCCTCAGTAACTCATCCTTCCCCACAACTATTCTGCATTTATATCTGAGCACATCCCCTAAGAGTTCATAATCAGGATAACTAGTTGGATCCACAGCTTTACTTTGAATGACCATCTTGAAGTGAGGATCATTAGCAAAATTATTAATTAATAAATCAATTAATAAAATTTATCTTTACAATAATAAAATTATTATTAATATTAATTACAAAAATTAAATAATTTATCAATTAATATATTTATATTTAAAGTAGTCATATGGTATAAGTTAGAAGAATCATTATAATATAATAAATGTAAGTTTATATAGAAGTAACAAATGTCATTCTAAAATATATAATAAAATATAATTTTTTAAAAATGTATTTAAATTTTAAAACAATAATTTTCACTAATTTTAAAATTTAAGAATAATTTTTTTAATAAGCACTCAGTGTAATACAAATGTTAGTACTAGTTCAAAATTATACACAAATTCAGACATCCTCGACTTCTATGTTATCTACCAATTCCACTATCTCAATTTCAATGAAATATATCACAATTTTTTTCACGATTCCAGATCTGTAAAGAAGCATCATTCAATGCAACTAAACAGAAAATACCATCAAATTTGTTGTAATTGTGATATGCTAAAAAATTTTTAATAACTTCCCCTTTGAGAAATACCATCAAATTTGTCATCAACAGCTACCACCAATGCATGCTTCCTCTGGTAATCTAAAGCTTAAACAAAACATTGCCTGCACAATACATCAACTAGTAAAAATAAATAAAGCAGTAATGAACAAAAGAAAGAAAAACGATGCCAATTTATTTATACCTTGTTTGGGGCAACATCTCTAATCCTATAAAATATTGGATCTTGAATTCTAGCACCTAATGCAGTCTCTGCCTCCTGAAGAGTACCCAAAAAATAGAAAATAAATGAAAAAAAAATATATAAGATAGGAACAACATCAAGTGGCGGTATTGCACAAAATAACGGTTCGGTTCATTACTGATATTATTTTGCCCTCTGTCTCGTTCGATCTCATGAAGCAATAGCAGTGGATCCATGGCAGAGAACCTTTCCAGTGTTTCGTATGGATAAGACCTCTAAAGGCATCTGCAGTTATATATTCAAAAAATGCCAAGTTTTCTATGATAATAATGTGTGTTGACCGTTAGGTAGGTCTGGAAAAGAACCAAGCGGCTCGCGAGCAGCTTGAGATATATAGTGAATTACTAAAATACCCTTATATATAAATATTACAATATTTTATATATGTACTTAATGGTAATTTTACTTGAAATTCGAGTCGAACTCGAGCCGAGCTCGAACAATCTTTCGAGCATTTTGATTTCAATCGATCTCGAGCCGAGCTCAAGCGATTGTCTTCTTTCGTCGAGTCGATCTCGAGCGTCATAAAATCGAGCTCGACGAGTAAATGAGAGAAAATGGAAAGAACCTGAAAACAAAAGTAGTTACCAAGAAATTGTAAGGCTGAGGCAGGTAGATTCATAATGACATGATCGATGTGCTCCCAGGGTTTTGCATTGAAAGCCTCAGACTCTCTAATATGTTTATTCGACCATCTTTTCTTCTTTTCAGGCACACACTGACCATCATTATGCCGTTCATTCCCTACAACATATATTGCAAAGCAATGAGTTTAGCACTTTAGTAGCAAAAACGAAAGAAAAAAAGAAAGAAAGAAAGCAGGTATTAATCTGACTATCAATAATTTCAAAATCGAGCATTACCTTCGAACAAACTTTCACAGCGTCGTTTCACAGTACCTACACTCGACTCTTCTTTCGATTTCATTTGTCCATTAGTTTCCAAATTCCCACCATTCTCATCTTGAACTTCTTTTACAGCTCCTCCTTCATGTAAGCTGAAGTTTTAAATTAGTAGCTCATAATCAAATAATTTCAAAAGATAAATAAATAAATAAATTATTCAAAACAGATTTACCAGCGATACATCTATTTACTTACTTACTTTCGAAGATGAGATTCATCTAAGGAAGTCTTCGAAATTGCTATGTCAGACTCTGGACAACATTCGGTTGAAGGCACTTGAATTATAGAAGAAATAAACTTCCGTGCGTCTAAATTGTATGCGCGGACTAGATTAGAGACCTTGTTGATTTCTGCATTTATCTTGAGAAAACGAATGCTATCTGGATTTAAATCGTTTGCGTACACTTGGCATCCCTTTTGTGCAGCTGGAATAGCAAAAGGACCAATACCAGCAAACATATCACAAACAGTATCCCCAGCCTCGAATTTAGAGATCAACCTCAAGTGCTCATGTTCCAATCGAGAATTCCAATAGACCAAGCCATAGTCAAGCTTGAAAGTTGCCCCATACTGCTTCACTTCTGTAACCATGTTACAATCTCCAGCAAGTATTTCGAAATTCGGCACACGAAACTCATTCGTTATGGTCCCAACTTTATTGACAACGGTCTAGATTCGTGGATAGTTTTTCTANAACCAATTAAAGGAAGAGGAGTTCAGAATTTTAGGACTAGTAACATAAAATTATTCAGATAATAAGTATTTCAATGGTTAATTCTAATCCACGAGTTATTCAAATAGGCTCCAGTAATTGACTGCTTTCAAGAAAAATCATGATATGCTTGAAAGAATAGTCATGGAAATCCTTATAATATTCACACTTGGCTTTTATCATTAAAAAATAACTTATTTTACCAAAGCAAAAAATTAATTCCAGTTTTTGGCAGATTGAAACTTACTACTATGTTGTAAGTTCTAAGAATTCATCTGCAGAGAACAAATCAGTGAGCCAACTATTTTGAGAACAAGTTATACATACAAAGCGGAAAAAACATACATCATAAATTACTTTTGCTATAACGTCTTTATACGGTAGCAGTTCATCCGCTATATTCAGGTGGGCAATGTGACCCTGCACAAATGCAATTCGAAAGCACAATCATTAACTAAGACCTCACGTAGGGAAACTAGCAAGTATTTCAAAAGAATATCATTAATGATTATTCGTCACTCTAAGACAATAGCAGAAGAATAATCTAAAAATTTCATGAGGATTAAGCAACACCGAGAATACCAAAATGAAAGATGGGAAGAATGCGGACACATAAACACTTAACGATTGTTTCAAATGACGAAGGTACTTCAATCCCAGGTGGCAGAATCTGCTTCAATATATGGTCTGTAATGTAAACCAATTAGCCAGTGAAATTTCAATATCAACTAACACCACCAAATTAAACTTCTTCACGCATCTTAATTAGCAAACCACCAAAATAATGTACAATGAATGAATTAAAATTGCTAGAACATAGCAGCAATTAAGTGGAGGGAGAAACTAAACCATTTTACAAGAATAATCAAGTTTCAAATGCACAATATTTACAAGGCTCCACCAATATTAAATCAGAAAAATTCTAGGCTGAACGAAAGAAAGAATGCATAGGACAGATATAATTCTATATATATATAAAAAAAAAAAAAAGACTGTTAAAAGAGGTGGATGTAATAATAGCTATACTACATCTAAAATTTCAAATAAGAATCACCACCTAAATGAAGTAACTTCCTTCAGTCTTGGAGCATCAAAGTCTACAAATTCGGCTCCTAGAACTTAAGAACTTCCGACTAAAAAACTCGTACAACGGTATAACAAGCTTTTCCAAGCAGAAGTCTTGATTTCCATTTACATTCAAAAATCACAAAGAAGCAAATAAAAGCTGAAATCATAGAAAAGGGTTTACGTACCCACACTCCAGTACGAATAGCCAAGCGTAAATGAATACGGAACTACTTGAATCTCAAAGAGCCTTTTCAATTCCTCAACTTTATCATCAGGGATCTCAGACAAATCTGTCATAATTGGCCAACACAACTTCACATTTACACATAAGAATAAGAAACTCAAAGTTGATGCTTTCCACGTTTCTTCTTCTTCTTCATCCACAGACTTTCCACACAATATAACATTAGCAAGAAAGAAAAAGCGACGACAACTCAATACCTGGAATTTGGATTCTCTCGGACAATAACATGTAACGATTCTTATCAGAAGTTGGATCTTCTGTTACAGGTTTTATGCGTGGTCTATCAAGTAAATATCTGCAACAAGAGAAAAGTAACAATGAAAAAGGAAACACCATGGAAAAACTATGGACATACTAGCACCATTCATTAAATACCCATTTAGAATTCGAGTTGCAAGCTTGCAATGCTCCCGCGGGACTCGAAGTGCCAACAAATTCAACTGTACATCAAAAGTTTTCTCGTCCAACATGGCAACTGCAAATCACTCAAATTATGCAATCAAAATATGCAAAACTCAATTGAAGATTGGTTCCAAATAGGTAGATAAACAGGCTGGTACTTGAGGTGACGGACCTCCACCAAGAATTAGGGGTTTTGAGGACGCCAGCTGCTAATTAGGGCTTCCAAATATCATGTGCAGTTATTGATGATTCGTCTGTTTTACCTTTTTAATCCAAAAAATTCTTGTGAGTATTATACTTTTATATAAATATGCATACTTCCAGTATTATACTTTTATTTATTTATACATTTTTTTAAAATTATGACATTTTCAATAAAATTAGGTATATTTGTTAAAAAATATAATATCAATCTCCTGGTTAGGTTGAAGATTTTATCAACTGTGGGTTATAGGTTGTGTTTGGTGAGTAATCCGAGAACTCGTTCTTAAAATCATTTATTTTCAAATCATTAAATTTATTTTTAAATTTTAAATGAATGAAACAACACTATTTTATTAACTATGATGAGGACAGAAAACTAAGTACAGCCCCAACACCTAGAACAAGCTCCGTTCTTACAAATACAAATATCAAGTAGCACCTTTTTCCTCTAAAGTTATTATTAGCCATGGACCATTAACATTTTTCTCAACCGCAACCTAACGTTGAGTAAAATCAAAAACGAAGATCGATACAATAAATGAGGAAAAGGAAACAATTATACACAATTTTACGAAAGAATGCCAAAATCAATCAGTATGAACCAAAGGAAAGAGAGTTAAACCATACGGTGAACCTTGAGATGTTTTCTATGTATTTTCTGTGAACCTTGAGATGTTTTCTCTGTATTTTCTGTTGAGCGAGGTCAAGAGAGAAGAAGTGCCGCAACTTGAGATGTTTTCTTTCTCTTCTCTGTAGAGCGTTTACATGTGAGCACGATTTAGCTGTCTCACAAATTTAAAGGGCCACTTAACTTCATAAATATTTTTAAACCAAGACAATACACGTGTATTACACAAGTGTTTTCTAAGAAATTATATTTAAATTAAAAATAATAATAAATAAGTTTGTTTTAATTTTGAAATACTTTATTGAATAATTATTTTACTAATTATATTTAAAATAATACTAATCACTTATAAATCTTACCATCTTATATTATAATAATTTTTAAAATTATATCATTTAACAACTTTATAATTAAATTAATTTAAATAATTTAATTTTTTTAATTAGTATTAATAGGTAATTTGTTTTTTATTATAACAATAAATATAATTATTTACATAATTTGTACGTACAATATAGGTGTCTAATCGAAGTTCATCAAGACATGAGTAATTTGATATATTATGTATAAAAAAAATGATAATAAATAAAAATTTTAACTTTTAAATCTACTTATAATTTAAGTTAGTAATTTTTCATAATTTGAAAAGAAAGATGAGAAAAAAATTATGCCTTATGAATCACGTATAGAATAAGAAATTTAACATAATTAATGCTAAAGGGCCATAAATATCAAGTACATTTATGGCTATTTCAAACCTAATTATTTTTAGATTGAGAGTAAACTAAAATCATTCAAGCCAAACAACGAAGAAGCATGAAAAGTTGCCACATAGGATCCCGAAGCATGCGAGTATGCCAACACAGCTGGAAATTATATATTGCAAAGCAATGAGTTTAGCCTGTAGTAGCAACAACGAATGAAAGATAGAAAGCACGCGCTCGTGCGCACGTATTAACTTAACTATCATTATTTTCAAACCGAGCATACCTTCGGACAAACTTTCACAGCATTGTGACTACATTCAACTCTTCTTTTGATTTCATTTGTCCATTAGTTTCCAAATTCGCACCATTAGTTAATTCATGAACTTAACTTCCAAGTCTGGACATTTGTGGCGACTCAGGATTTTCTATTCACCTCAAGGAGTGAAGCTGTTGATCTGAAGCTTATTGATTTTGGTCTATCTGACTTCATTAGGACAAGGATTGGGAAAATTTTAATTTATGTTCTCTCTGATTCTTTCAGCCTCTTTATAGTCTTTTATACGTATTACAGACTTGTTAAGCATATATGCTATTATTACCTAAAGAACCTTATTAAATTCAGTTAAGTTATAAAAAAAAAGTAAAAGTAAAAAAAAAATTCCTATGAGCTCCATATTTTTATACCTTCTTCTTTAGAGTATTTTCTACCCATACGATCACTTACTTTCTTGGCTAGAGTTGAACAAAGTATCATCAATACCATTCAATTTACTAATAGTAAAGGTACTCTACAGAAACAACTAATGACTTGAAGGAAATTAAAATAACATATGCAATACAACTTAAAAGCAAGTTTATAAATCACCTACCACCACAAGAAATCACCACCGAATGTAGGAAATCGCCAGTTAAGCAAACATTGCCTGCAAAAGAAGAAGTATGTGGATATTTTAGAACGACACTACCAAAAATATATATTGAGCCCTAAAACAGGGTGTGTTGGTTTTTCTTTTGTCGTACGAAATTCATAAGTTAGAAGAATGATTTACAAGAAACTGCACAGGTAAAATCCACAACCTGAACAAACTCTATTGTAATTTTTACTATAGCAATGTAACTCGCTAAAAATGCACAGGTAAATATATTGAAACCCTTCCTAGTGATAACCAAATAACAAACATAAAAAACTAGCACATTGTCACATTGGAAAAAGAAAAAGATTAAAAGAAATACAGACAGAATATCTTAACAAGCATCAGACAATCAGAAATCGCAGAACACTGCTAGCATGCTCCCAAAGCCACACATAACAAAAAATCTGCATAACATTGGATGAAATTTTTTGCCAATAGACGTGTGTGTATATAAGTGCAAGAAAGATGCTGAAGAACGAAGAGCAAAAAATAACTTGTTCTTATGAATTATGAGAAAATTTTCTTGAACCTATATTCTATGAGAAAGAGAATCTCCGCATATTCGTGCACCTAGATTCGCTGCGGGAATCAAATTACCGGCTACTCCGTTGCTCGAAGCTAGGTGAGTTTTATCAGTTTGGGGGTTAGGGTTTGGATAAATGAAAAATGAAAATGACTGCAGCGTGTAAAGATCGAGATCGAGAATATTGAGAGAGATTGAGAGCAGGGATGAAGGAAAATGAAAGGTCGTGTTATTAGAATGAATGAATGAGAAAAGTGCGTTCTGTACATGAGATAGATAACCCTTATATATGTGGGTTAACCTAAAATAGGTAAAAGTGCTATTCCAATGTAAAGTTGCTATTCCTAATACAAGTGGAAAGATGTTTGTACATTAAGCTAAATGAGGTGTACATATTCTATTACTGCGTGAGAAGAGTGATATGCTCACAGTCACAGCCTCATATGCAGTAGAAAGAAGTGTTATGACCACTTTAACCTCCCTATGGTCAACATGCCGAGTAAAAAAAAAGGGTTAATAACTTTTTTCCATCTGAACTTTCACGGTTTTGGCGCATCATTATATAAATTATTTTTTTTACAAATCACCATATGAACTATACGGGTTTGTCAAAGTGCCCCCTAAACCGGATATAAAAGTGGTTTTCACTTAAAAAAACTGATTTGTGAGGGCATTTAATGAATTTCATATATATTTAAAAAAAATGAAAAATGAAAAAAAATAAGAAAGAAAACAACAACATGCGATGGGCTCTGCGAGATCGCCATCACCACCGCCTTCCTCGGCCGGCTTGGTGAGTTGCCGCTCGTCGGAGGCACCCTCGGGTTCACCTTCGCTAATGTCACCGGATTTTCCGTGTTCAACAATAGAGGAACCTCCTTCTGCCATGGCTACCGCCGCCTCCAAGCTTTGCTCCACCACCCTCCTCACCTCCTCCGCTTCCTCATCAGCTCCCTCAACCGCCGGTCAACCTCCTCCACCGCCACAAATTAACCCATCCTCCGCCATCTCCATTCTCAGCGGGACTTCCTCCACCAACACCGCCCGATTCAGCTTTTGCTCCGTGTATAGCGGCCACAACAACATCGGCACGCCAGCCCTCACCGCCACCTGTGGGGCCCACGACTTCACCTCTAAACTCTCAAATGTGTTCACAATTATTCCGTCTAAATTTAATACGTTGTGAGAATATTCTTGAAAGATCTTGTAGTCGGTGGATTCCCGATCGAGCAGCACCGCCACCACGTCGGACGGCGGGAATGGCAGCAGGCCCGAGAAATTGAGGAGCGTGTCCCTCATGTCCTTGAAGCTCACGGCGGTCGCGCCTCCATTTTTAATGGAGGTCGTCGTCTTGAGGAAGAACGCCGTGGCAGAGATGAAGCCGAGGACGCGGTGGACGTGGGGGTTGCTGAGGCGGAGGCCGTGCAACAACAAGAAGCCGACCATTTGTTTTTCATTTTTTTTCATTTTTCTTTTGTTTTTCTAAAAATTATACAAAATTTTAGAAATGTCTTTAAAAATCAAGTTTTTTTCATCAAAACACTTTTTTATTCGGTTTAGGGGGTAATTTGACAAACCCGTATAGTTGAGATGGTGGTTTGTTAAAAAAAAAGTTCATATGGTGATGCGCCAAAGTTCAGATCGGAAAAAATTATTAACNACTTTTACCATATACATAACCTTCTTGTTCAGTTCCACAATTGTTGGCTTTGGGTTTGATTTTGTTCGACATAGCAAGCACTTATAATGAGTGGATTTTGTATTTTCCAGCAGCTACGAGATTATTATCCTCGCCACTTGGTGCTGTGCAGTTTTACATACAACAGAAATCGAAAGAGAAGTCCACAGTCACCTGTTCGAAAATTTCCTTGCTCCACGATGAGGTTTTTAAGATACAAGTTCTTGGGTGCATGTGCGTTTTCTTCGTCGTCCTCGCCAATTACCAATAATAATGATGAATCCCCTGGACTCTCTTTCATTCACAGTGATGCATCTCAGCCTCCTCTTCTTTCGGATTGTTTAAGGTAATTTTCTATTTATTCCTTTTTCCTATTTCTATTATTTTAATAATTTTGAGATTTCAGATCTTGTTTGGTTTTGGGGATAATCTATGCCATATGAATGATAGGTACAAATTGTGGAAGTTGAACAAGCATTTTTGCTACTTCCATTTTAATGCTTGCTTCCTCAACTCCTAAACAATCAATTATCCAACATGAGGCTATATTACTCTGTCTTCTCAAGTT